ACCTGGTAAAAGCTACACAGTTTTGAAAATTTAATTAACATTGCCTTTAAAAAAGAAAGTTGTTATTTTAATAATTGCAGCTTGTGTGTAATTTTGCTTGGGCTCCTCTTTTGTGCCCTTACCTTTTTATATTCTTCATACAAGCGAAAAATTTACTTTTTCAGCATTTAGAAAATTATTCACTATATTTATGTAAAAGATTTGTATGGCGGCCCATCTTAGAACACAACTTTGGGTGGCTCACAACTAAAACCAAGAAACAATAACAATCAAAAAGGCAAAAGCAAAAACCCAGTGCCTCAACCATCACTGCATCATCCTTAGATGCCTCTCACAAAACCATTTCCAGGCTACCATCTTTGTCTTAGTGGCTGGCCTACTTGGAAGAGGGTTCCACAGGGCACTGGCTGTTCCAGAAAAGGCATGCTTCCTAAGTCCCAGTAGATGGCAATACTTAAGAGACCTATGTACATACTCTATAACCTGGTTCTGGGCTATGTGACGCTTTCAAGGCAGTCACCAGCACCTTAAATTGTACCCAGAAAGAAAGTGGTAGCCAATGCAGGTCACCACAGTAATGGAGTAATATAGGCAAACCAAGACAGTGGCTGTAAATACCATATTGTTAGGATATACAGACTTGAGACTAAAGAAATGTATTATTACCCATCTCTATGACATGCATATTGTATCACAATACTGCCCATAATTATAAATCATGGAATTACCAAGCCTCCTTAGAAATATTTGGCTCAGAATTCTATCAAGAATAAAATAGCTGTAGAATTTATTTGGGAGGCTTAAATGTGGACACGTCTTTAAAATCATAATTTTGAAACAATTGCAGAAACTCAGGCTTGAAACAAGACAATATTGTGAGGTTGGGAGTGATCCAGGAGTAGTGCAAACAAGGCACACTTAGAGAACCTCTTTGTTTTTTTGTCATCTGTAAACTGCTCTATGATCCTTTCCAAGCATCAAAATGTATAAATGCTTTCCAAAATAAGCCAGAATGCTGTGTTTGCTGCTTTTATTGTTTTAATCCTTTTTGATGTAAACTGGCCTTGTAAGCCACTTAGAATTGGTTACAACTAAAACAACGTGTAAGCTGGAAAAAAAAAGAAATTAAGCAATCAAATAAGCGTCACTGGAGTTAAGATGGGTTGTTTTGTATTTTTTTGTGAAAGCATACATCCATTTTTAAATTATATATAGCAAAACATCGACCAATCGTTATCATTTTCAAAGTGTTATGCAGTTTTCTGTCTCCACAGACAGATCAAACATTGTAGTGGTTCAAACTGAAGAAAATTGCTTTCATGAACTACAACAGTTGAAAAAACATGGGGGGAAGGGTAGTATTTACAGAAAGGTCACATGAGGCATTGTTTTAATCCTCCAGGGTGTAAAGCAATATTAAATCAGGCTAGTGGAGCTACAAGAAACTTGAAATGTCCATCAAGGCAGTGCTCTGCAGCATGTATCTCCAACCTGCTGCTATTAAAAAGCATTTCATTTGTTCAAGTCAAGGGACCTTCCTCATGTCCTGCTTTTGTTCTCTCCAGCCAGCTTAATCAAATATGGAAGCAGCACTGTTGCCACTAAAGGATTATTTTGCTTTATTGCTCAGGGCGAGATTGAATCATTGTGCTTCAATCATGATCTCTGGAGGAATGTAATTATCTGAGGCCCAATCTCTGCAGGCAATGTATTTATTTGGTGTCTACACTTGGTCTGCCCAAATAAACCCCACCCAGAAGATGGTGTAATGCCTCGGTAATGAAGCCCTGTCTATGTTCTCCATTTACTCTGCAGTGAAGCATCACAATCTGCTTCCCCCTTGACTTTTGGAGAGAGAGGCGGGCAAAGAGGTGTGTCTGGAAGTTTCATGCATGGCAAATCCGAGATTGATTTTTGCCCTTCACCTTGTCCTTTAATTCACCCTTGCCACTTAAGCTATTAGCACAGTTCTGTAGCCTTTGCCTGTTAAAGCTGGCTCACTCAGATGCATCTTGGTTCATATTTACTAGGTCTGCCTATGTTCACCTGGGCCCATTTTCACCACAGTTCATTAGGAACGTGTTATTGTTGGACTCCCCACCACAGTCTTTCAACTTAGCTCAGTCCTGTGCATATTCTTATCCTGAGATTTATGTCCTGCATCCACAAAAGAGGTCTTAAATCAACCAGACTGTTAACATCTCCAGTTCTGGGATCCTTGGAGATAAAATGCTGGTGTACTAATAGATGATTCATAGCTAGTCTTAAACAGAAAATAGCCTCATTTGTGCAGCACTGTCCTTTGCGGGAAGGGCTTTGTGTGTGTGGCTATGAGTCCTTTATCCATCATCAGGTTGTACAAAGATTATACCAAGCTGGAATTTAGAGACTTTGAAGTTTACATTGGCACAACTAAACAGAATTCATCGAAACAAATGAAATATTATTTAGCTTTCTTGCATCCATTATTATTTTTTCACTATTTGCTCTATGACTTAAAAACATGCTATTTTTTTTTAAAAAAAAACCTAATATGTAATCAAAATATTACATATTACACGCAGAGAAAAGCAACAAAGATGATTAAGGGACTAGAGGCTAAAACATATGTAGAATGGTTGCTGGAATTGGGTATGTTTAGCCTAATGAAAGAAGGACTAGGGGTGATATGATAGCAGTATTCCAATATCTAAGGGGCAGCCACAAAAAAGAGGGAGTCAAACTATTTTCCAAAGCACTTGAAGGCAGGGCAAGAAGCAATGGAAGGAAACTAATCAAAGAGAGAAGCAATCTAGAACTAGGGAGAAATTTCATGATAGTTAGAACAATTAATCAGTGGAACAGCCTGCCTCCAGAAGTTGTGAATGCTCCAACACTGGAAGTTTTTAAGAAGAGACTGGACATCCATTTGTCTGAAATGGTATAGGATTTCCTGCCTGAGCAGAGGGTTAGACAAGAAGACCTCCATGGTCCTTTCCAACTCTGTTACTCTCTATTCTGTAGATAAATGTGCAAACTCATTTTCATAATTGAATTTCTGTTTAATATATGGAGCTCAAACTGGATGCCTACCATGGAATTATCATAGGTTGTCTGTGGAAGACCTTTCTGCCCACCAGCTTTCATTTAAGTATGGTTCATGCTCAGTGTGCTACATTGTATCCTATTGTTATTCTATATTGAATTTTGCCTTTGGAGCTTCGTGGAATGATCTATAGCAAAGCTGATATGAAACATGAATGCTAGCTAGTGGGGCTTGAAATTAGAACGACTCCCATTAAAAAAAAAGGCATATCCCATTTCAGATCTCTGTCTGAGAAACCTTTGAGACTATTCTAATTCAAACTGGATTCCATTCATCACCATACTTGCCTGTCAATAAATGCTTAGATTAATTTTGTTGAACACTTCAATTGATCAACCGGCCCTCCTCTGCCTATCCCCCTCCTAATGAAATCAAAACTTCTCTATTTCTGCATTAGGAGAGGGACCACGTAATGATTGGAACAGCTTAATAGGCAGATACTTGTCTGCCCTTAACCTGAAATAACTCACTAGAACACCCATAAACCACATTTCTGACTGCACCATGCGGTTTATTTCTTATGAGAAATTGACAAACCTATCCTCCCAGCAAGAAATGATATTCTAGATCACAGTGAGAAGGATCGTGTTCAGGTAGATACTTATAGCGAGCTGTCCATCTGTAAAACCGTCTTCTGAAATTATCTATTCCATTGGATAAAGAATTTTGTAGAAATCTAAAGGGAACTGTGGATTGTGGAAAAGATTCATTCAGAATTTTTAAATATCTTCATGTAGAGGTATATAACACGTAATGTGTTATATACCTCTACATGAAGATATTTAAAAATAGCTTCTTTTCCAGCCTAGGAGCCATTCTCACAAAGAGCGTAAGTTGTTTACCCTAAAAGAAGTCACCATGAGGATTGCCCCCTCGGCAGCATAAATTGTTCCCAGAAGTGTGGTTATCCTTATTCTATCTTCCATTACATAATTAAACAGATTTAACAGAATATCTTTTGTTATTGGATGTTCCAAGTAAAAGGCAGTCAGTTCACACTGTTTTCCAAAATGCTTTTATTTGATTTAGTTTGTAACAATTTGAATAGAGCTACTACAGTTAAAGAAATGCCCAACTTCCCTTAATATTTCATGGCTGGATCTCTGAATTAATAGCTGTGCTTTGATTTGACAGCTATAACAGTTGCTTGAATTCTGACCCACAGGTGTGGTTTTTACAACTCCTGAAGTTTGAAAAGTGTTACACCAAAGTATTATTACTATTGCTGTTGTTTAAAAAGCTAAGGCTACCTAAGCAACAGAATGTATATCCAGAGGCAATTTATCACCTTAGTTATACAGAAAGGACTGCTTTGTTTTAGAAACCGGTTTATCTGAATTAAAAAGGCTGTATTGTAAATGATCAGCTCTTGAATTGGAGCTGTAGTAGTGAGCTTCAAAAAAAATATCATACGATGATGAGAAGAATCTTCATAATTTTGGACCCAATTGTTACATCTTACTTTGGGAACAAATTTGTCCAGTAAGCAGAAAAAAAACATTTTTGTTGCCTTGGTAGTAAAATAGACAATTCTGGGAAGGAAGCACATTCTGTTTTGTATCGTACACATGAAGAGGAATTCTCTGAATTGTCCCAACATGTTAGTCAGTAATATTACAGGACCAGCAACATGACCAATTTTTTGCTTTAAATTTTGTGCAGAACAAAAATATCTTCCTTATGACGGACTTCTGCATTCAACAAAAATAATTACTATAGATACAATTCTTGTGTACAAAGTGTACAAAACATTAAATTTCTTTTTCTTTATATTCTTGCTACGGGGATTTTCCACTGTCCTAAAGGTAAGTAAGTATTTAGGGGCCATTTGTTTTGACTCTATTTGCATCAGAGCTCCCAACATTTTTCTGTCTGGTTGCACAATCCATTAATCCACTTATAGTGTTACTAGTTATTAACATGCCTCTGTCTGGATATTCCTGCCTGGGCATGTTGTTCCACCATTTTCCGGAGGTGGATTTGCACACTGTCTTGTGCGGCTTCTAGATCCACTTTGACAAGCTGCCCATGGAGTCCAGCAACTCCAGCTACCTTGGACTGGATATCCTGTAACATAATACATCACGATTAGCAACTTTCAGATAAAGCTAGTTTCAGATTTGTTCGAGATTTAGAATAAAGCAAAGAAATCAAATCCATTCCAGTTTATGGATGAGGCTGGACATTGCTGGCAATTATTACATCAGTAAGAACACCAGCAGCATTATATAGCATTGCAATACTTGTATATTTCTGGAATTGCTGGAGCTGCCGCTTACTAAGTTCTGAAAAGTTGGATCATCCTTGATCTAAAACAGAGGTCCCCAACCTTTCTAGGTTGGCGGCCCAGAGGGAAAGGAAGGGGGAGGCATGGGGCCACGTACATGCGTAATGTAAACGGGGGCAGCACGAGTGTGCATGCGACGCTAGGGTCCGGCTGAGCGCCCGTGCAATGCTGGGACTGGACTTAGCCCCTGTGTGCTGCTGGGGATGGGCTGAATGCCTGCATGACACTGGGAGGGGACCTAGCACCCACGCAACGCTGGGAGTGTGCCTAGTGCCCACACAACACTCAGGGTGGCCTAGTGCCTGCACAATGCTCAGGGTGGTGCCCTGGGCGCTGCTTGAGGCAGGGCTAGCGCCCATGCGACACTTAGGGCAGTGCTAGTGTGAGTGGCCAGAATTCCAGAATTCTGCCATTCACGCACTCCGGTGGCCAAAAGGCCACAGCCCGGTAGTGGGCCATGGCCCACAGGTTGGGGACCCTGATCTAAAAGAAATGTATTCCAGAAAGGAACTAATGCTATTGTATGGCAAGCAAGACCAACATTTTTTATATATAAGTATGTAGGGAGAGTTCTGTTGAACCAGACAAGATTTCTCCTAATCCAATAGCCATCTTCCTCTAGGAATTTATTAGTAGGATATGAAAGTGAAACTAAGGATGGTAACTCCTCTCACCATCGGTCTCTATCAATGGGGAAAAGATCAGAATCCTGTTTCTAGAACCTGAAGCATCACACACATATATTCCATCAAGGCCATAAGCCAAGATAGCTTTATCCTGCTAAACAGCAGTATATTCCTTGTGTCCCTTCTCAGGCAAGGAACAGCCTGTAAAATGAATGGGAGGTGGGAAAATTCAAAGCATACTAACAATATAACTCCCTTTCTATTTCACTGTATTGAATGTTACAAAGAAGCAGCCAGAAGAGAGATCTGGGACTGTTGTACATTGTGTGGATCATGTGTTGCCTGCCATATTCACAGTCTTTCAGGTCCTTCAAAACAGACCCTTAAGGTTCTTTGAAGTTTCATCTTTAAACTACAATGGATGAAGACAAAGACGCTGCTTTAAGAGTTCTTTGCAAGACCCGCCTGTTCATTTTCATCTCTGTCTGATTGGAGTGACAAATTCATTAGGATTGCTTCAGCCTGATCCAAAACAATCTCAATGCAGCATTCTTTTCCTTTGGAACAGTGTTTTTCATCCTCAACAACTTTTAAGATGTGTCAAGCTTCAACTGCCCTCGTGCTGGCTGGGGGAATTCTGGAAGTTGAAGTCCACACATCAACTTGTTGCTGAGGTTGAGAAACCCTGCCTTAGGCATTAGAAAATACATTGTTATGTAACCAAGCATTTTAATGGGATGGGTACTCTATCTACTGCATTATTTTCTTTGTATGCTTTGCTTGTGGATTATTTATTTGATTCACACACTACCTGTCAGCAACTCTATATTCTAATTTTTCCTCAGACCGAAAAACCTGGGCTGTAAGTTGGGCTGAGCCCAGCTCAGAGTCAGAGTAATCCTCAATGTCTGCAACTGCACTATAAACCAGGTTTTCCTACTCTTTAATCTAGCACTTAAGCACTATACCAAACTAGCTGTACCTCCTTTTATTTTTGTGCTTTCCCTCTATATATACACAGTGTATGCAATTTAGCTCTCTCCTCTGCAACCCAGCTAAAATAGACTGTAGCTGAACGTAAATGCCATAGTAAAAGTTCCAAAATAAATGCTGATTTTTGCACAACCACCATAAATGTATGCATTAGATTCGTAGCAGCAAGATATCTTTCCCATCTCCCTTCGTGGATTGAAAGAAGGCAAGCAAATTACTGACAATAAGCGAACATCAGCTTCTGCTATATATCTATATTATGGGTTTTTGATGGTACATTGTGTGTGTGTGTGTGTGTGTGTGTGTGTGTGTGAGAGAGAGAGAGAGAGAGAGAGAGAGAGAGAGAGAGAGAGAGAGAGAGAGATTCCACATCTATATTAAGGAATTATCTGGAAAACTTGAGGATGAAGTGACTGAACAGACCAGACACAATCCTATAAGGAATTAAGTGTTGCCCAGATCCACTAAAATAAATCAATTTAACTACACTTAAATCTGCATAGGGTTAAGCTGCAAGCCTTGGACATCTCCATTAATATTTATTGGGGGCTTTCCTGGGCTCTGTCCTTGCAGTTTCTGATATGATTTATACCACTGCAGTAGGCTACTTCTACAAGGTCTTTTGTTAACCCTTCACACTGGTTTGAAATGCCAGTCTGATTCCTGGGTAAAACTCCTTTGGTAGCTTGGTATCCAAAGTGATCCAAGGTGTTGAAGGTAAATGTAGTTTACAGTCTACTGATCTCAGGAGCTCTCATTTAACAATGTTTTCTCAGTAGTCTTACCTGTCCTCTTTGTTTCTCCACAGTCTGGGCCTAGGTAGCCTGGCTTACACTCACAAAAACAGGTAGTTCCCAGGAGGATTGGTTCACCATTGTTCTTACAGGGACCACAACGGCAGGTATTGAATTCCAGTAAATACTGATCTAAAGCCCTTTTCAAGTTCCTCTTCTTGGTTTCCATATTACCAAGGCTTGTCCTAGACAATAATTCATGTATGGGCTGCAGCTGAGAAAGAACAGAAAAAAGAAAACTATTTTTACATTGTGGTTGTTAAACCTTGGGAATGTTGAAATACAATGCCCAGAAAAGTACCAGGCTATCTTAGGAAGGTGAGATTTGTAAACCAATAAATTTAAATGGTGCAAGTACAAAATGGATGGAATGGCAAAATACTTATTTTGATAATCATCTTGATAGATTTTTCCAAAGTATGAATGGCCCCGTCTGGCTTATCAAGGATTTTCTCTCAATTTTCTCCTCCCTCTTCTAAACTGCTATATGGACTTAAACAAAAATTTCCAAGGAGCAGTGTAAAATCTATTTGTGAGATTCTTATAGAGAATGGAGGAAACAATTGTGATATAGAAGCCAAAGACATCTTGACATTGAGCAAATGTCTCCTATAACTGAAACAATTGGATTAAATGCAGAAGTAGATATAAAAAATATGGATAATGTCTACAGTAAGTCAGATAACTGAAGTTCTCTTAATATACGTATCTTGGACTGTGTTGGAAACAACTGGGATTAATGCTATAGGAATCCATTAGGGGAACAAGAGTGAAAACAAGTAGTGAGCGGTGCATTGTCAATATTTTTAAAATGTCTATTATTATATTTACATTACATAAAGATACCATATATATTTATATTTAGAAACAGGGATAAAGAAGGAAGAGTTATTTAGTGATTTCAGACTCTGGTGATACTATAGACAGTCTGTTAATCCTCAGGTAGGTTTACGTCTACTTCTTATCCTGAATCTTGTATTTTTAAAGGAAATGATGATGTTCTATAAAGGAGATCATCTTTAAAAGAATCTCAGAAAAGAATTTCTCCAATTTCTCTATAAAGCTGCTAGCTGACCTGGAAGATATTGAGCAGGACACAGGTGGCAGCATTAATAGTAGCACCAAAGGCCTTATGGTGACTTTAAGAACTGACATTTTAGTGACTTCAAGTCATTGTGACTACAGAGAATTGTAAATCACTTCTAATCATTATATGTGGGAGAAAAGGCATCAAGCAACATGCCACGAGGTCTTTTAACCTCTATGTTTCTCCCTGAGAGCAGCCATAAGTTCATTAAAAATGGGTTCCTCATCTGTATCCAGTATGATTTCCCAAGTCAAGTCACTTCCTGGAACTACATAGAATATGAAGTCTCTATTTATACCAATGTACTACCCAGTGAAGCTTTTGAAAAGAAGGAATGAATCATTCTGTTTCTGCAGCTTTCCTCAATCTGGTGACTTCTGATACAAGGTTGGCTAAGATTACTGTCTTATTTTCTGGGAAAGTAGAATTCACGCCAAAGTATAAATAAGTATATACAAATATAGCATTGAAAGAGTTCAGGATGATCTCATTTCTGTAAGATCTAAGTGAAAGATTGCTCAATCTATTTGCTCTCTTTGCTGCTTACAGGGCAAATAGCTAAGATGAGCTATCCCAACAAATGAAAGTACGTACTGCAAATCAAAGCAAAAACCAAGTCAAAGAAAAGCAAGATTGTTGCCTTATAGCATGAAATATGGATTTCCCCTTTCTTCAAATATCTTAAATATAATTATTCATCTAATCATTATACAAAAAGTTATGTTGGATCAGACTCTGTTTTTACTGTAGCTACCCAAAGGACTTTGGGTAACCCAGAAGTCGAAGATGAAGACAATAGGTCTTTCCTAATCAGATGTGTCTTCCACTGGTGTCTGGAGGCAACATTGGAGTCATCATGGCCAATTATCATTGTTAATCTTATACACAATGAACATCTATAATATACAGACATTTACACCTATGGGAGCAATGTCCACAATCACCTGGCTGCAATACAAATGCTTGCCTCTTCTCTATCTGAATTTCTCTCCACTCAACATCTTCAGTGGGAGAACTTTCCCCAACCATTTTGATGACAGTAGAAGTGAGGAAATACCTCACCAGGCATTTTCTCCACGCTCTGCATTATTTTAAAAATGCTTATTATATTCCTTTCTCAGCCTACCATTTTTCCTGAGCTAAAAGCGTAAACCTTGCAACTGCTTGCCCTAAGGGACTGTTCTAGTTCCCTTTATCATGCTGATCATCTTTTTCTATAGTTTTTTTTTCCATTTTTGTAATATCTTTCTGCAATGAATGGAACTATACGCAGCATGCCAGAAGAAGCTGGCTTCCCTCATTGATTTGTATAATAGACATTACACTACCATCAGTTTTAATTTTATACTTCTAAAATTTTTGCACTGTTTGCAGTGTGCATTCTTTTCCCTGCTACAATCTGCTTTGAATATTCTGTGCAAATGGAAAAACAAGATATACACTGAATAAGCTTGTACATGTTTTAATCTTGTACTTCATATTTTAAATATTATGTCGTATAATATGCTTTAATTGTGATGCTTCTAACATGAGTAAACAAACAGACGCATTGACCCTTTTTCCAAACGTTTAAAGTTGTCTTTTTTCATCCAAGTTTGCTACTGAATAAGGACAAATTGTCGTTGCCATCTAAGGGTTATTTCCCCCCCCCCAGTTTCTCAATACAGACAACACTTCTTAAATTTTCTGTTTCTCTATTCCAATTATTAACTAAGCCTGACTCTACTGAGCTTCTGACCAGGTCTGCCATCTGCCAAGACTTTCTAATTGTTACACAACATGGAATTTGCCTTTTACAGCAGCTACATGCTGGATAAATATTTTCACAGAGTGACAGTTTGCAAGTTCAAGAACCTTTCCGATCAATCATTGGCTGAGATCAAAATGGGCTTTTGGAGACGTAAAGGAGGTGGGCTCTGAGATTCATATGGAGTGGAGGTCTCTAGCTCATCTGGGCTGCAAAAATCCTGCTGAGCCCAGATGACAACAAAGACACATAGGCATCTCTAATTCTTTGCTACTTTTTATTGGTAGCCTGGAGCTGTGCAGCCCAATGCACAGGAGCCTTAGTGTGGAAAGAGTGATCAAGTGACAGAAATACAAATAGTGTGCAGAGTTATGAGGAATGCTGACATAGGCACAGGGGCAGTCTGTTTACCGAGATTTCCCGTAATTCAAGAGGATGAGAGGATTGCGGCATAAGACATCCTCCACAGCCTTGAAAAAAAAAGGTGTTTTAAAAAAAAACAATATTTACACAAGAAATATTTAGCAAACAACAGTAGGTCAAATGGAGAGGGCATTCAAGTGGACATTAGTAATTATTAGATGTCTGAATCTACTCCAAAGACATCAGCACTTGCGATGCTCCTAAAGCAGTCTTTTAAGGGTTATAGAGTAGGTGACAGGCAAATAGTTTCATTCAGAATTCATGGAAATTTATCCAGCCAGGATGGGAAAGCTGGTCTTGCTTCAGTTAAATAAAAAAACAAAAGAAAATGGGGTAACATACAGTACCTTAAATCAGCACCTTGCATGTGTGTTAAGATTAAAACTCTAGAATTTAAAGAGCAGTGAGGGTTTTACTGTTCCAAAACATCTGAACATGCCAGAATTGGGGAGCTGAATTATACAATGATCCCAAAAAGTGAATTGCATAAAGGTTCTCTGCAAGAAACTGGCAATTAGACGATCTCCAAAATTTCCCTTTGTTTCCCTTATGATTCTGAGCTGCTCAGGATTTTCTGTATAAGATAGTCAGCTATGTAAGTTTTTGAATAAATAAAATCTCTCTCTAACAGTGAATGTGAAGGACAGGAATATCTCTCTGCTACCACACATATATTGCTATTCATGCCCTAAAAAAAATTCTAGGGAGAAAAGCAGCTGGAGGGGACAGCAGGATATATTCAGAGCATAAATTCTGAATACTTTATGTTCAAGCTAAAACGAATGGTAGCGTAGGGTGATAAACTCCAGGGGAAGAAACAACATTGCTTAAGAGGCTGGTATGTCATTTCAAATGTTGTTAAATGGCATCTTCTTCCAAATGTACAAAGTAACAACCAGTCTGTCCCCTGAAAAGATGCAAAACAACATCGTTCTAGGAACTTTTGCCTGACAGCTTTAATTTCTTGGATAAGTAGCTGCAGCCATTTAATCGTACAGGTGTATCATCATTTCCCCCCCCCCCCAATGGCATTCCACCTTAGAAAATATCCAGTGTACAATTGTGCTGTAAGAAAAGATAACACTGAGAAATGATAACTTCAGAAGCCCCAGCAAAAAATAAATTGGCAGCCAGGAGTACCAATTTATTAGGTTGAAAACGATGCTGATGTCTGGTTGGGTCACCAATTTCAGGAATGTGAATATTAAATGTGACTTATTATTTACAATTTTGTTACTGCAAACCATGGAATAAGTTTCTATGCTTTACAACTTTATCCCACATATTTGACAGCTAAGTCACAGTTATTTTTGGGATTAAAACTGGAGGTAATCCTTACTATTATGTCAAAAAAGAAAAATGCATTTTTTATTGGTTTGAAGTGATTATGATGGTCATTTATCAGATTCAGGAGAAGCTTTTGTAAAGTTTGCTTGTTATCTGCAGACTTCTTTATGAACAATGAAAATGGAAAGGCAGTAGAAAAGGGAAACAATGAGGACATTACTCTAAATACGCCAGATCAATTGATTGTAGATGGAAAATGGTTCAGTTGCCAGAATTCTTGTAACCTCATCCCTTTCTTGTTAATAAATATTGCTAAAGAAAATATATGAGACTTCTGCTTGGATTTAGATAGTGGCAAACAACCTTACAGCAATGAAAAACTATAAAAATAGTTCATAGTATCTCACTACATTCTCTATGTCTGTTAATTCAATGAATGTAAGATTGATTACATTATGGGTTCTAGATACCGGCCAAGTGTCAAGGATTTTGCACATCATAGTCTACTGTTTTATGTAGTTCAGGTGGTCAGCTGGAATCCTAGTATCTTTATTCTCTCTTGATTGATAGTGTACATTAATAATGTGTAGACTAAAGATCAAATTCCTGAATAAATCCAAGAGTGTTTTAATTGGCAAATATTCCTGGCTCCATGCCTAACTGCATCATATATTAGACAATTCATATGCTTTAATCCTTTTCAATCCTCCACTTCCAACTGACCTACTATCATTAGAAAGTGTGGGGGTGGGGAATGAATGAGTGATGAATGCTAGTCTGAGAATCACAAGCATTCTAGAACTACTTTATCTTCTATTTTAAGACATATAATGCACTGATGCCATACTTGTAGCCAGAGCTGAGTATACAGCAACCCAACAAATGAATCGTTTCATTTGGTTAGCTTAGAGAAGTCTTAGTTGCATTGCTCAGCAACCAAAGGTACAGAATTCTCTCCTTCTGGACAAAACCAGAGTCCTATTATATTTCTTGGTGATCTAAGCATGCTGCCAGATAGAAAACCTATGCAAAAGAAAGCCAGAAAAGCTTTTTATGGCTCCTTTTATTTTTTGAGACAAAATGTCCACAATTTATTTCATTTAAAAAAACCTGTATGATGTGTATGATCTAGCTAGCACAATCTTCTTCAGCATCTTCTGCTCCAAATGTCTCTATCAACCAGAGAAACAATTAGAAGGCAATTGACTATTTCCACCTCTATTTCTCATCTGAGACAGGATATCTAAACTGCCTGATTGTCAGTGCTTCATGTCAGGATTAATGATATCAGTACCTATGTTGAAAAAAATGCAGTTCATTCTTCCTTGTTGAAGAACAACGATCCTCAATTTCCTATAAAATGAGTGCTCCTATTCCCACCTTTTGGCAATCTAGTTGCCATGGTGCAATAAACATAACCTTAAACATTAAGAATTAAAGTCTTCTTCTTACCTCTCCCTTACTTTAGAAGTCTTGTTTTGCTTCTTCTTCTTCTTTTGTTTTTAAAAAATACATTTGTATCCTTGTGAAATGGGGAGAAGGTCAGCGTATCTATAGCCCATTATATTTAAGCCTGTTCTAAGATGGAATCGCTATCAAAATATAAAATGATCTGCTCCAGTACACTTTCAATCCTTTAGAAATGCGGCATTCTTACACGTGAAAGCAAAGGCTTACCTCAAAATCAATAATGGTGGGATTAAGTTTTAATGACCTCCCCCAGTAGCGGTATGCTACGGAGTTCTTATTTTCCATGATTCTGGCAATGGATGAGGCATCTCCACCTTCAACCCGAGGAATAATATCTTCTATTACTGACTTTTTTTCCTTGTCCTCTGGAAAGTTAAAGAGTTGAAAGAATTAGGGTTCATTTCTATGATTCCCCTAATTTTACAGGCATTCATTAATTGAAGTAACTTAAAAGAGGATAAGTCTTACAAGAATTTGGAACAGGCAGTAAAAAAACCTCTATTGGTGCTGTTCATCTATAATACATAATCTTAATATGCGCAGCATTTGTCAATATGGATATCAAAAGTGCACCATAAAGTTGACCTCCTTTTTGTGAATTCAAAATATTTTTCCCTGTTATTTTTCCTTCCCCCTTTAATTTGCCATTCATCTTTATGAATGAAATCAATTAAGGACAGAAATTAGCAAAAAGTGGAATGAGTCCTATGACATTCAAATGACTTTGAGGACATTCCTATATACGGCCTAGTCATTTTGTGACCAAGACCACCATGTACCCGTCACAAACATTTCTCCAAGACTTTTTTCCTTTGAAATAATCCTTAATTTCTAAGACAAATTGTGTTTTATCAAACAAAATAAGGACCGGCAGCAAGAGAATAAAGTAGAGTTTCATCTATTTTGCTCTGTGAAGAATAATTTCTAGTGCGTGAGTCCCCTCATTGAAACAAAAACATTTTAAATACGCAAGTGAGGAAGTCTATTTCCTACCTCCGCCCATGCCTCCATCTGAGCCACATTTACTGAAGTTCACCTTGGTATTTACATCCATAGTTTCTTGAAATGGAAAACTTAAGCCAATCGATGCCCCAAAACAGCTATTTACATAATCCTTTTTAATTTCTATAGTAAAGGAAGAAATCATGAATATCATTAGCATGTTTATACCCATGGATAATTGATGAACCTTCATGTCTTAGTAACCAACAGAAGCACGGTAAGAACATCCATATTTGCATTTCAACATTTTTTTCACTGGTCATTCATTGTCTCTAAAATAATGTCTGCCAAGGGTACAACAAAAAAACCAAGATGGCAGGCACAGCCATATGATAAAAGCCCTGTCCTTTTCCACAGGCAAGACAACATTAAAAAGGGTGGGAATTCACCCTTACATTGTGACACACATAAACAAAGGTGGGAATTTAACTGCATAGCTGTAGCTACTTTTTTTGACTCCATCCCTGGCAGCTGGTATCTGGAAAGATATTGACAGAAACTAGGTGAATGCATTTCTGCTTTAAAAAAACCCAGTATAAATTACATTTCCATAGTTGCCACTGTGTAAGCCATGTATGGGATTTGAAAAATAAGAATGTCTAAGAAGAGATGTGTAAAAATAACTGAAATTACATATTTTTGAAAAACAAAATTTGAAACAATTTATCTAAGTCAACCTATATTCAATTATGCTGCTGATGCTACAAACAAAGGCATAGCCAAGGTTCTGTTCATATTTTTGGTCCTTCAAGAAATAGAGGAAATTTCTTTGGTTTCCCCTCATAATTGGAAAGGCTGCCATATTTTGAAACACTTTGGAAACTATTCTGAAGAAAAATTTCTCTATTCTTTCTTAAAGGAGTCAAACTTTTTAAAAAGTTTCTACATAATGTAAGCCTGAAAAAACCCAGCTGCCCCTGCTTTAAGGAATCCATTCGTTAAAATTAAAGCAGTCTGTAGAAGTGACTCTCAAAGCAGCAGCACCATTGGAAGATTGGAAAAGTTGGATTTTTATTTTTATTTTATTTTGATAAACAGCAAGAAGATACTTTGGTGGATCAAGGCTCAAGACCATCTTCCAAATCATTTTCCAAACCTTCTAAACTCGGGTTTAAATAGAAAATATTGCCCTGTTGCCCAGTATTCTCTGCTACAACCTATCTCCTTTCACTTTCCACTAGTAAAAATGCCTGGAGGCGCAGAGAATACCACTGAGCCAACTATGGTTCAGTTCTGTCACCTCAAAAGTTGTGAGAAATTGGCATACCATCCAGCAAGATTTCAAAACCCATAAAGCCTACCAATTTTGAAGGTTGCCTTACTTCCTTTGATGTTTCATACAATGAATAAAGTACATAGGAAATTAATTGCAAGCCACCATACTCTTTACATATATTGTAAGTGCAACCTGCTAGAAACATAGTAATACCAAAGATATTATAAATGCAGCAGTTTTTCCTAACTTGCTACTTTCAGAGGTAAAAATTGTAATACAACATTTTTGAATGGCATCAGCTTAGGGAAGACAGAAACCATGATAGGTTTCTCCTGTAGAATCTTGCCTATTTCCTTTTAGACCCAAAAGTATTCTTTGTCAAATTTTATGAAATTCTATTCAGTATTTCAACAATTTATTTAATAGACATCAGACTGATCTCTTTTTTAAAAAATCTTTCTCAGTGAGGAAAATCCATATATGTTTGTTTTGGTAAGTTTGCATTTGCACATAATAGTCAGCCAGTTTTTATTTTAACCATAGTTTGCTGAACAAGCCAAGAACAGCTGAAGTCACTGCTTGCTTGACTAATGCCTCATTAATTTTCTCAATTTCTTCCACTGGTACCCAGAAGATACAGATGGAGTACAAGAACAAAGAATAAATTGGAATTCGGGCATTTAGATTAAAACAAACCATAGTTTCATTAAGCCAGGATTCATAAATCAAAGACGAACCAGCGTTTCACATTCAGACTTTGTGGGCAAAATAAAGCAGTGTTTCTTAATTGGGCTGGCTTGCACACTATGCTGTCCTTTCTATTGTGACTAAATATATTGTATCACTATTGCTTCATGTAAATAGGGAACTAAAGTTTAATGTTTCCCAATGAGCAGAAAGTCCCAATAAAGCTATGACTCGGACTGTACTTTGCCATACCTAATAGAACAAAGTCTCCCTACTGCTGAATTTATATTCATTTGCTGCCAACTGGCAGAATATTAATAAATCCATAGTATTGTTTGTATTTAACTACTCCACCACTGTTTAACAACACACCTGGGTGAAATATATTTACTTTAAACAAAAAGAAATGATTAGTTCTTTTCTCAGTGTTTCAACAATATATTCTAGAACCTCTTAAGTAATTAGTTGCAGCAAAGACCTGTCAATACAATTTGTTATTGGTAGTCATGAGAGGATTGCTCCTACTTTGATCAATGGTATGTAGTAGATGTCATAAAATGATCATACAAAATATATTGGCAGTGTAGGAAAAGAGAAAACAAGATTATTTATTGTCTTATTGTAATTCCAGGGGGCTAAATAGGGTACACAAATTAGATGGATTTCTGCTTTTAATTTTAGAATTAATCACAGTGTGAGAAAGTTTCTTTCTGTTGTATAATTAGAAATCACAAATAAATGGCATTGCTCTTCTGTGAAACCATACAAGAATAATGATTTGCTCTGAAACAAAAAAATCAAAGTAATCTTTGAGCAATTTTTGTAACTCTATTTTTTATTTTTTTAAACTGAATCTTCATCAGAAGATAGAGAAATGTAGGTAGCTAACATTTACACTTAGTACAAAGTCTATTACATACAAACATGTATATTTTGTTTTGTTCTCTCTTTTTCTTCTCCCATAAAAATTTTCTCCCCAAAGAAGCCTTAAAAGGCCTCCATAAAAAATAATGAAACCAAATTTCAATAAAACAAATTAAACAAAACAAACAATAAAATCACTAATACTAAAAAAGTGTATCTATATATGCCTCAATATATACGAATTAAAACATTTTTTTAAAATACAAAGGCTTAGTCAGGAGGTCCAAATGAAATACCCATCTGTCTATCTGTCCCTCTATCTATTTACCTACCTACTTTTCTAGTTATTTTGATTTACACTTTTAGTTTCTTAAACATATACTGATTGTATATGAATGCCTACAATAACTGATATATAAACAGTGGCTTTGGACAGAGAGAGGGGTGGCATATAAATTTAATAATAAATAAAAATACCATATAATGCCTATATGAACCAGCCAACTGCTCATGTTGCATTCTAGAAAACTTTTCTGTCCAATTTCAATTGCATCACATCCATAAAGAAGATTGTAAGATACTACAACATAACATAAAAATTAAAAACAGGTATTGTTGGATCAGACCAGTGACTCATTTAGATCACCAATTTTTGTCACTGTCTATATCCTACTGTAAGAAATTGGAACACCATGCACAGCAGGGATCGATAATTCCAATAAAGACCTACCTGATCTGCGTATGATGTTTTTGAAAGCTACCTCCATAGCTCAGCAACTCCTAGCTTACTGTGGCTACTAAACATGTTACAAATCCTTTATTCCTGAGTTCAAAAGGCATGCTAAAATAATTCTGCTGCCGAGGCAAAGGACAATAGGAATAGCAATAGCACATAGACTTATATACCACTTCACAGTGTTTTACAGCCCTCTTTAAGTGGTTTACAGAGTCAGCATATTGACCCCAACAATCTGGGTCCTCATTTTACTGACTTCGGAAGGATGGAAGACTGAATCAACAGTGAACTGGTCAGGATTGAACTCCTGGCTGTGGGCAGAGTTTGCCTGCACTACTGCATTCTAATCACTGTGCCACCAGGGCTCATGGTGCCAAGATGGCACACTGAAGACAACTCACAATAAGTCATACTGACAAGAAAATTAAGCTTGGAGAGAAAAAAAACTCTTTTTGTTGTTGAAGGGAGTAACCAGTAGAAAGCTAAACTTGCATACTGGGTTCATTAAAACATGCCCCTACCTTTAAGCATCATTTGGCAATTAACGTGCCTGCCAAGGCAAGGAGTGTGAAACTACCCCTTAAGAGTGTATTTCTGCTTTCGCTTCATTGAGTCATCCATACGTGATAGTGATTGCATCCATCACCAGCTTTTTCAGAAGAAGGGAAACAAACCCATAATTCTACAGAAACATTTGCTTTCAGACACCATGAGCAGCACTAAAGCAAAGGGCTGACATTCACTGAACCACAGATTTGCTTCTCCTGACTCAACAAGGCACTTAACTATAGCACTGGCTTGATAAATGTGTCTCTTTTTTTATAGTCTGCTGCTGTGGGTGAAAATTATACAAGTATCCTACATAAAAGGAAAAAATATTTTTCTCCCGGGGCACATTTTTTTGTTGTCTGTTTTAGGACTCCCCTCCTCTTTCCAAGGGGCCCACTTTCTTGTATAAATCACACCCTTTCTGAAAGGCAGGGAGCAAAATGTAAAATAAATAAAGGAATGGCTCTATTGAGATACTGCTGGCTGATGTATTCTTGGTCTTCTTCTCTCGATAGCCTTGCTTCTTGCAGCCTTGAATGGCATGTTGGTCTCCCTATTGGTCACTCTTTGGGACAAGGAAAGACACAAGTTTGCAAGTATTAAGTCCACTGAATCCAGTGGTGGGATTCAAATATGTGAACAACTGGTTCTCTGTGTGGATGCCACTTCCGGAAGTCCATTCTGGACCTGGGCAACAAAAAATTAGCTACCAGTTCTGCTGAAGTGGTGCGAACTGGCTGAATCCCACCACTGATTGAATCCACAGCCTGACTGGATGGACACTATTCAATATTGCAAGCTCCGAGCTTATTACCATTTATTTATTTATTTATAAAATTTATAGACTACCCATCTTACCACAAGGTAACTCTGGGTGGCTACTGGGAAAAACACAATAGCCTTTTCCATAGGGGGTAGCACTTCAGTACCATGTGTATGCACTGATTTTTATTTTTTATTTTTTGCACTAATAAGCATGCACTAATAAGATATCATTTATGTGGATGGCTGGGGTAGTGAAAAGGCATGCCAAGAAATGCTCAAAATGCAAACAAATCCACATAGTACAGGAGTCTTCAAACTTGGCAACTTTAAGACTTGTGGACTTCAACTCCCAGAATTCCTTAGCTATCTAACAAAATGAAATTCAATGGTGTAAAAAGTAAGGTTCTACATTTAGGCAAGAAAAACCAAATGTACAGGTATAGTATAGGGGGTACCTTGCTCAATAGTACTAGTAACTGTGATAGGGATCTCGGAGTCCTAGTAGACAATCACTTAAATATGAGCCATCAGTGTGCTGCAGCTGCCAAAAAAGCCAACACAGTGCTGGGCTGCATTAACAGAGGGATAGAATCAAGATTACGTGAAGTATTAATACCACTTTACAATGCCTTAGTAAGGCCACACTTGGAATACTGCATCCAGTTTTGGTCACCACGATGTAAAAAAGATGCTGAGACTCTAGAAAGAGTACAGAGAAGAGCAACAANTAAGGAGAAACTTCCTGACAGTTAGAACAATTAACCAATGGAACAACCTGCCTCCAGAAGCGGTGAATGCTCCAACACTGGAAGTTTTTAAGAAGAGACTGGACAGCCATTTGTCCGAAATGGTATAGGGTTTCCTGCCTGAGCAGGGGGTTGGACTAGATGACCTCCAAGGTCCCTTCCAACTTTATTATTATTATTAAGTCTTAAAGTTGCCGAGGTTGAAGACCCCTGAGAGAGTACAATCCTCATTTAAATGCCTTTCCCCGCTTCTGCTCTGAAAAGCTCTCTAGCCATCCTTGAGTCTGCAGAAAAGTATACAAACATAATAGTGTGACTTACGACCGGTCCTTGCTCTTATGACCATCGCAGCATCCTCATGGTCACATGATCAAACTTTGAACGCTCTGCATGTATTTAATAACAGTTGCAGCATCCCAATGTCATTTGATCGCCATTTGCGACCTTCCCAGCTGACAAGCAAAGTCAGATTCACTTAAAGAGTACATGATTCACTTAACAACTATGGCAAAAAAAATAAATCATAAAATTGTGATCATAAGTTGAGGAGTACCTCTATATGCTTTGTGTAGAAAAGATGCCAACTTCATTTCTGGATAACCTCAGCTCTAACCAAGAAAGGTGAGGCTTAGATATAAATTTGGGGACTAGTATAGGCTCATAGGAATAATACTCAGGATTGAAGTCTAAGCAGAAGAATCTCCAGTTAACGTCATCCCACACTGCCATTCCTTTCTCTACTGCATCCTCGTTCCCCACACCCAGGACTCATGGTGGTGCAGTGGTTAGAATGCAGAATTGCCGGCTAATTCTGCTGACTGCCGACTGTCAACAGTTCGACAGTTCAAGCGTCATTGGCTCAAGGTTGACTCAGTCTTCCATCCTTCCGAGGTCAGTAAAATGAGGACCCAGAGATGCTGACTCTGTAAACTGCTTAGAGAGGGCTGTAAAGCACTGTGAAGTGGTATATAAATCTAAGTGCTATTCCTCTGGCTATCCTTCCGTTTTAAAAACATCCTTTTTAGGAAAAAGCAGTATTCCATGCAAGGAAACTAGGTCACTCATAATCTCATAATCATCCACATGTCTTAGCTCTTTGATGCATTGCTTGGAAATGTGAGACTTAGACAATGTATTTCTACACTTGTTCCTACTGCAAAACCTCTTAATTCATAGACATGTAGTCCTTGGCTTACAACCACAATGGAGTCCAATATTTCAGTGCTTTGCAAGATAGCTGTTAAGTGAGCTTTGCCCCATTTTACGACTTTTCTTGACATGGCTGTTAAGTGAATTACTGCAGTTGGTAAGCTTGTAAACATACTGTAGTTGTTAAGTGAGTTTGGCCTCCCCATTGGCTTTGCTTGTCAGAAGGTTGCAAAAAGGGATCACATGACCCTGGGACACTGCAACCGTCATAAGTGCATGCCAGTTACTAAGTGTCCAAATTTTGATCACATGAACCATGGGGAAGCTGCAATGGTCGTAAGTGTGAAAAACTGCCATAAGTCACTTTCTTCAGTGCTGGTGTAACTTTAAACGGTCAGTAAACAAATGATTGTAAATCGAGGACTACCTGTATTGGTAATCCAGAACATGAGTTTTATGATCAATAATAGTTTTTCTCACCTGTCCAAAAATCATAGAGCAAAACAGATTTACCTCCAAATATACCTGAAATCTGTCTCAAGTTATTATAAAAGGATAACACCAGGGTTTATATTTTTATGAAATTGTTTATACTATTTAGCTGAAGTCCAGATATTCCCATCTGTGCAAACTGAATATATCCCCTTTTGAAAATAATACAAGCTGAGTAGAGGACTGAGGCATTTTGGTGCGTATCTCTGTTGTGCTTACGCTTCCTGCTATGGACACAGCTTGCCTCCCCTGGATTTGGGCAACTTTCCTTTGTTTGTGTAGAATAATTCGCAGGTTTTGACTAACTCAGCCTGTCGTTTACCTCCAATGCATTAAGCAACCAACAATCAATTTCTCATTGTTAATGTAACTGTGGAAGCAGTTAACAGCCCTTGTAAATATAATCTATACTAAGATGCTGTAATTCAAATCTGGATTGCCTTGAACTGATCTGTAAAAGTATAGCAGTACAAATACTTCACATCTGCAACTGATGGCCATGGCATAATGCATTCAGACAGAATCTATGGGGGTTATGTCCCCCCAAAAAATGTTGCAGCTGGTCAGAACAATTCCAAGAATAAAGAGAGGCAGAAGATTATTGGACTGCCAACTCCAAGGCCTTCTGGGTTCATGTAGGCAAGACAGTCTCAGGGAAATAAATGTAGTGGCCTAGATTAAGTAAATAAGGGTGCTCTTTTCCCACACATAATAAAACAGGGCAGGTGAGCACTTTGCACTGTGAGATCCCTGGAAACATTGTTTCTCTTTTGGCAAAGATAAAAATCATTAGTACAGCTATCCATGTGCATTACATTTCCATACATAGATCTGCAGAATAGATGTCTTCCTCCGTACTAGTCAGCCTGGCCATCAAATATTAAGACTTTATATCTGTATTTTCTTTTTCTTTCCCAGTCCTCCATTCCTTCATTTTAGCATCTTTTTTTAATAGTAAATTGGAGGGCAGGGAGCGTTTTCAGATAGAAATATAAAATACCAATCCTGAACCAATGGCTTTAAGCCTATGGGTGTGCCTCACTGAACAGTATATAAAATAAACGTGCAAACCTGAGCTCGTCATTTTGTCTTTGTTCACAACAAGGATGTATTCAAAGATGCCTCCAATAGTTCCAGATGTCATGAAATGGGTGCCATAATCATCAATAAATCTGCTGTACATCCCATAATTGTATTCCTCTGGGAGCTCTATCAGAGACTGCAACATGTCTTCATCCAAGTATATATTATCACGTCTCATCTTGAAACGTGCTGTTTGTACTTTGGTTTTGGCTCTAATAAATCCTACATTCTGGGAGGTAAGTAGATAGCTAGTTAGCAGACAGACAGAAGTTACAGATAGTCCTCAACTTACGACCCCAATTGAGCTCAAAATTTCTGTTTGCTAAGAGAGACATTTGTTAAGTGAGTTTTGCCCCATTTTACGACCTTCCTTGCCACCGTTGTTAAGTGAATCACTGCAGTTGTTCAGTTAATAACATGGTTGTTAAGTGACTCTGGCTTCCCTATTGATTGTAACCATCATAAATATGAATCAGTTGCCAAGCGTCTTAATTTTGATCACATGACCTTGGGATTGCTGAGAGGGTTGTAGGTATGAAAAATAGTCACCAATCACTTCTTTCAGTGCCGTTGTAACTTTGAACAGTTACTGTTATAAGTCGAGGACTACCTGTGTATCCAGTTTTTGCATGGGAGATAAGTAACTAATCAGTTAGCAGACAGTGACAAATTATACTCCGGGAGTATAAGTCTCTGGGAGGTAAGTAGAAAGCTAGTTAGCAGTCAGAAACAAGTTAAACTGAGTTTTTGAAACATGGTCTTATAATCATATGCAAAGTTCAATTTATTTATTTATTTATCTATTTATCTATCTATTTATTTATTTATTTATGACAATTTATGTGGCCACCCAACTTACTCTCAGTGATTCCAGGCAGCTTACAAAAATAAAACAACAACAACAACACAAATACAATATAAAAAGTTATTACCACCCACCTCCTCAATGTCAAACAATCAAATGAGCCACTTGACAGGACCATCCCACTTTGGGATCCCCAGGCCCATTGGCAAAAACCCCTCTTTAGTTGTTTCTCTAACCTCAGCAAATTATTCCAAAGTCCTGGGTTGTAAGCAGTTCCTATACAAGCCTTCTAAAAACTGAACAACACCAAGCTGTTCACATTTCTTGATTTCCAAGCTTTCCTAAATCATAAGCAAAATAATGGCTTCCTGCAACTCCGGTTTTCTTAAATTAATGTAGGAAAGACAGATTTGCTGTTGGAACACTTTCTCTGACAACTGTTGCCTGATGAATAATTCTAAATATTTTTCAACCATTATCATTTATATATTTAAGATCAAGGAAGGAGGATTGGAGGGAAATAGTATGCAACATTTTTCATAATTTTATTCTCCATTATAATGCTTCTTTTTACTTCAGCACAATAAGAGCAATAGCAATGATGGTCATCTCACATGTGCAATTACACACATAAATTAAGATATGAGCATTCCTGGTTCAAGAGGGACATGTGAGTGATTTGATTTAAAAAAAAATAACAACAAGGATTGAGAAAGATGAGCTTTGCTGTTGTATTACCTTTTCTTTGTATTGAGTAAAATTGTTCAGGGTCCCTGAACCCTTTGATAAAGTTAAGCCCAGTTCCAGAGACACAGGAACGCTAGCAGGTCCTATGCCAACTGTAAAACCAACATTTCTAGAGGTGTCTTTTTTGATGGCCCTCAGTAACTCTGCAGAATCATCATAATATTCTGAAGAGACACCAGTATCAGCCTGAGCCTGAAATGAAAAGATAATATGTTGGATTAACATCAATGGATTCTCTTTTGCCCTAGTAGAAGAGGGGTGGGGAACTATGGCCCCTTTATGACCTGTGGACTTCAATTCCCAGAGCATGGATGGCTCAGGAGTTCTGGGAGTTGAAGTCCACAGGTCATAAAGGGGCCATAGTTCCCCACCCCTGCCCTAGAAGCTCCAAATTTCAGCCTAGGCACACCTAATTTATCCTCTCTGAAATCTTTGCAGGGTCAATTTCTAAGCTATTTGGGGACAGCATAAACAAAAAGACAACCCCTTTCATTTTTTAGCTTCTGCCAGCCAATGTGGTATTGTCTTAATGTTATTCAGATGATGTCGGCCACTCTGGAATTAATCTTTGGTAAGTGACAAAGAGTCCTTTGTTAAATGAACACATATGCATGCAAACTACTATGGGGTTCGATGGGACCTCTGGAGGGGTAATATCTGAAGACAGCAATAGCAATAGCACTAAGACTTACAGTAGATACCTCCTCATAGTGCTTTATGCACTCTCTGGGAGGTTTACAATGTCAGCATATAAAGGATGAAAAGCTGAGTCAATCTTGAGCCCATCAGGATCAAATTCCAAACTGAGGGCAGAGTTTGTCTGCGTTGCTGCATTCTAACCACTGCACCACCAGGGCTCAAGATAGTGGTAGCAGCTACGTGATCAAAGCCCCATAAAAATGGGAGTGCAGGACCCTCCTGATGTTTCATAAGAGCCTTAAGACCTGGCTCTGCCAGATGGGTTGGGGACCCAATGGGAGAGCTTAATACTGGAAGTGGTTAACTAATTAAAATTCTATGCCACGTCCTTGTGTCCAGCTCTTTTCTTTGCCAACTTGTGCTCATGGTTTTATCTGTTAATGTTTTTATCAGCTGTGTTTTTTACAATAGATGATTTTAATGTTTTCCAATGTTTTTATATTGTAAGCCACCCAGAGTTGTTGGATATGAGATAGATGGCAAATACATTTTATAGATAGTTAGATAGATGATGATGAAGATAGATAGATAGACAGACAGACAGGCAGGCAGGCAGGCAGGCAGGCAGGCAGGCAGGCAGGCAGGCAGGCAGGCAGGCAGGCAGGCAGGCAGACAGACAGACAGACAGACAGACAGACAGACAGATAGATAGATAGATAGAGTAGGTATGTAGGTATGTAGGTATGTAGATAGATAGATAGATAGATAGATAGATAGATAGATAGATAGATAGATAGATAGATAGATAGATAGATAGATAGATAGATAGACGATAGACAGACAGACAGACAGATAGATGTGTTTGTGTGTGTGTGTGTGTGTGAGAGAGAGAGAGAGAGAGAGAGAGAGAGAGAGAGAGAGAGAGAGAGAGAGAGAGAGAGAGGTTGTAAACACCATTTTGAAATTTTATCCTTATTGTAGATGCCCCTGCCCCACCTCATTCCCAGTCTCTATATATACTGCTAATCTTCCCCTGAACTTGGAATTAAAGGCCCGTTGCATATTCACATGTCTACAAATCTGGGTGATATATTGATGAGAATATAGAGTAACAGAGTTGGAAGGAACCATGGAGATCTATTAGTCTAACCCCCTGCTCAGGCAGGGAGCTCTATATCACTTCAGACAGATGGTTGTCCAATCTTTTCTTAAAACCCCCCAGTGATGCAGCACCCACAACTTCTGTAGGCAAGCTGTTCCACTGATTTTGTCCTCACTGTCAGGAAATTTATCCTTAGTTCTAGGTTGGACCTCTCTTTGTTGAGCTTCCATCCCTTACCTACCCTGAGGTGCTTTGGAGAATGTGTTGACCTCTTCGTCTCTGTGACAGCCTCTCAAATATTGGAAGACTGCTATCATGTCACCTTCTAGTCCTTCTCTTCATTAGACATTCCCAGTTCTAACAACTGTTCATCGTACGGTTTAGCCTCCAATCCCTTAATTATCTTTGTTGCTCTTCTCCACACACTTTCTAGAGTCTCAACATCTTTTTTTGTACTGTGTTGGCCAAAACTAGATGCAGTATTCCAAGTGCAGAATAAAGCGATACTACACTGCACCTGGATCTAATAGTACACAAAGCCACAATGTTGCTAATAGGCTAGACTTTGCAGTACTTTAGGTGAAATTGCACAAGGCAGAAAACTGATTTGATTCCTGCAATAGGTCATTCAGAGTTTCCATTCTGGCCTCAGCAGTAGGGGACCAAATGCTGGCCTCAGTTACCACATTAGAAGCAAACAAATACTCATGAATAGATCATTATCTCACTTAAAATCAATCAATCCAGAATAGGTCTTCTTCTTAGTGTCTTAGATTATATTGATGATGCTTTTTTTATATAACTCCAAGCAATGAACTTGCCTAATACCATTCAACGTGTAACTCTACTGCATTAGATCTTTCCTTGCATAGATCCAGTGCTATTGAATCCTTAACATTAAGCACACACATACGCCCACACACTTACTAGAAATTGATAGAAGTGAAGATTGTAGGACCTTCGAAAATATTTCTCATCATCCCCATAATACAAATGTTCACATGTCGAATCATACTTCAGCTCTCGCCATTCTCCATTATAAACAGTTTCACACTGGCCTCCAAAGTACTTAGGGTCATAGACTAACAGTGCTGGCTTTTGTGTAAGGATGTTGAATCTTTAATAAAGAAAAAGAAAGGCAGATAGGTAAGCAGTGTTGGTGTGTTCTGTGGCAAAGATGTTCCACTTTTTAAGCATCCTAGAAACTCTCTCTAAAAAAAAAAGAAATCTGGGGAGTGATTCAGAGGCAAGCTGATTAAAGCTGTGATTCTCTATTTCCTTACTTCTAAATATGTGTAATTGATTTTTATTTCTGACTAGACACATAGATGACAACACAATAAACTGGTACAAGTTGTAAAATTTCTCAGTTTGCACCAAAGCAGATTAGAATGAAGGCCTTTTTAATACTGAGTGCATGAAATGTGACAATTGTTCACATTTACTTTTTTATTCTTTGCACACTTTTATGGCATTATTGTCTTCAGGGTGCAGTTGTATGAATATAAACCAAAAAGTCTTCTTATTTTTACTGAACACTTTTGTTTTTATCTATAAGAAATAAAATTGGAAAAAGGACTATAAAAATTTTGGACTTAAAAACCTTAAGCGGCATCGGTGACATTTTGTGGCAAAGCTTGGTATTACAACTTGTTATTGCCTAAAGGAGACTTGGCTTGAAGCCCAGACTACAGATAAGACTCTTTTAACTTTGATAAACACCACCTGTGAGAAGTTCAGCAATAAAGAGAACTTCTGGGTGGCATGGCTGGCCTCCTTGAACTATGAATGTTAACCTTTATTGATTTTTAGAGCTTTATATGGGGAATTGCCTTCCTACTTTTTTATCTGAGGAATATTGGTCATTATTTGTGATGATGAAATACCTTGGATTATAAAATTTTACTTGACAAATGACTTTTACTATAAAGACTACCTACAAACACATGAAACAGAGGTCCCATACCCAGCTATAAAATTATTTTTATCATCTGACTTCAAAGTCCTCAACTTAATGCACCATTAAGAGAAGATGGATGAAGACCAGGAAAAGATTATTTCCATGTTGAAAGCAATATATGAAACCATCCTTTCAGCTTGTGACGAAATAGGATGTTACAGAAAAGAACAATATGTCAGCTTAGATATACAAACCCAAATTCCAACTACAACTAAAGAACTAACAATGCAGAAGGTAACAGAAGAAGTGGGACAATCAAATACTAAGACAGAGGACTCAATTGACCAACAAATACAGTCAATGGAATATTCAGAAAAGGGACTGACAACACTGAAAATGGAAAAGACTTTCTATATAAATCAGAAGAAATTTGAGGAGCAAGAAGAAGAACAGAATGAATGGAAGATAAACATACCAGGTCAATTATGGGGATTTGGAATAATAGGGAGACGATTTAAGGAATACAAATGGACTAGCCCTACCAAAAAAATGGCAACTAAATGGTCTCTCTTATTCAAAACAATATATATAATAATAGAGGGAGATCTATTTGATGATTTAAAAGCATTGACAGGGAAGGCTAGTTGGCAAAGAAAGAAAGCTAGAATAAGGCTGAAGAAAATTGGGGTTTTGATTTACCAGAGGGGAATTCATATTACTAATTAGAGGGTCAAAGAGAGAAGTTGAGATAAGGAAAATTTTAAACATTTGGAAATTAGTTGAAAATAAGGATGCTATTTGTTTAATACTTAAAAATTAGACTCAAAAGAAAAAAAATATTAATATGTTTGATTTATTGATTAACTCAGACAATATATATAAACAGGTTTTGATTTATTAAAGGGGATACTGTATTATTAATTAGATGATGTAAGATGGGGGGAAAGATAACTTTTAGGAAATAGAACAAGATTATACTCAAATAGATAAGATGTGTATTTTGAATATCAGATTCGGTTATGAATTGAAATAAAGGAAACTTTGGTTACCTAAAACCTGGAAATTATAAATATCAAATGTTAAATTTGAATATTGATGGGAAACTAAAATTGGGAAAAACTAATAACAAGACATTGATTGAATGTAAAGATTGAATATAAAAGTAATTAAGATATGTATAAGCTAAACATTTATTGATAAATGTAATAATGATGTTTTTATTTAGTTGATATAATAAGAACTGTATTAGCTTAAACATGAAATAGTAGATATTAAGGGAAAAAGAGAGGAAATATTTGAGGTTGTAGTTTGAGATTTGTACTAAAGATTTTTGTATGTTACTGAACTACTGATGAACCCAGCCACCACGTTGCTTTTTAAATACCTAAATGTAAAATTGGATAATTAATAAAAATACTATTAAAAATAAATAAATAAATAAAACCCACAGTATGTCATCTTCGTATCCCGTAGCTGCAATATCTTTTTCCTTCTCTTCTTTGACAGACATGCACAGAAGTCCATTTTTGTTCCTTAAACGTCAAGTTTCCTTGAAATTGCAGCTATGCCAACACCTTTCCCCTAGTTGCAGCTGTCACTTATAAGCAACTGGTTATAGTTAACCTAAAATAAAAGTAGTCCTCAACTTGCAACTTTTCGTTTAGTGACCGAAGTTGCAGAGGCATTGAAAAAAGTGACTTAGGGTCAGTCCTTGCACCTGCAACCATGACAGCATCCTCATGATTACATGATCAAAATTTGGGCACTTGGCAACCTGGCATTTACTTATGATAGAATCCTGGGTCACGTGATCACTATTTGTGACCTTCCCAGCCGGGTTCAAACAAGTCAATGGGAAAGCTGGATTCACTTAACGGTTGTGTGATATAATTAAGTTCAGTGATTTGCTTAAGAAGTGTGGCCAAAAAAAAAAAAAATCAGATGCAGCCACCTTGCTTGGCAATGGAAATTCTGGTCCCAAATGTGTTTGTAAGTTCAGGACTACCTGTGCTGTAACTTGGTAATAGCTGAGGAACTTTCCTAGCTGTCTTGTGTTTGGTTCTACAATTGCAACTATAGGATTAACCTTTAGGTTTGAACCACTGGGCTCTTGGGCTGTTTGTGCACCATCGGACAGGGAGGCATTAGTGGCACCAAGGGGGTGATCCAAACAATAGAAACAAGGCACACGATTTCCCCACGGCAGGACAGACGTAAAGAATGGTAACAATAAAGGAGAATATTTGTAGCTTGGGGTTGAAATGAAGCTCCTTGGTGCTCTCTGAGTTTGGTTGTTTCCTTGCAGATGTTTCATTATCTAAACTACGTAACATCATCAGTGTTAATCTATATCGAATTGCTTATAAGTAGTAGCTCAAGAGGTTGTGGCCAGATTATTTCCCAAACCTATTTTTGTGTATTCTTTATTTTATACTTTTAATTAAGTAAAACAAACAACAAAAAGGGGAAAAGAAAGAAAAATGAAAAGAATGCATGCATAAAATGAACTTTACGTTAGCGAGAGATGAAAATATGGTTATAAAAAGTTTGGTTAAAGTTTTTTTTAAAGGCAAAAGAGATAAAATAATGAAGAAAAAATATAGGAAAAAGTATCCTAATAGCTGCCTTCTCCCCCCACCCCGCTCTTTCTTTTCTTCCTTTCCTTCCTTCTTTGAAGTTTTATATCATTCTATCCTACAATTTTTAAAATTTGTTCTGTCTCTGTGACATATATGAATACAAATATGTAGATACATCTTTAAAATGACATTGGCTCTGCATAAGTATTTCAAATTCTGTCCTCTTTTTCAGGGTCCTTCCTTTATTAATATCACTAATTTTTCCAATTATTTGCATATATTTGTGCATTTTCTATAAACCCTTCTGTCCTTGCGTAATCCTGTATAGCCTACTAAGGACAGATGGCACAAACCATACAGATGCTGCGTTGTCAAACTCATAATATTTGTCTTTTGGCCATTATTATTGTATTGCTAATAATTTTAGTAAATTATAAACATCAGACTTCTTTTTAAAGGAGTTTATGAGTGCTGTGAGGATGATAAGCTGTCAAAACAGTGTTTGGTCTTAAAGACAGAGAGACATTTTCTCCCAGATGAAAGGATGATGTAGATGCACTGAATAATTCTCAGTATTTAAAACACAATGAAAAACCAGGTAAACTTTTATTTATCTAGAGAATATAGTCTATTTTTAAACTTGATGTAATGGCTTCTTGCCAAAGTGAACTATTATAGAACCGATTAGATGAAGAATCTATTCCTATGGTATTTATAAAGTCTCTATCCTAACTTGGTTGCGTTCTAAAATGTTCATTTCAGAATATAGCACAATATGATGGATAAAAATAAACATTTTTCTGGCATTTATGTAAATGAAGCAGAAAAAAATAATGCTGTTCTATTTAAAAAATCTGAAATTTTTCAACTACTTCTTAATTTGATGAGGAACAACATTTTGGCTTGCCACGGAAATGTTGATGAGTGGGATAAGAGATCTTGTGTATAGCTGGGAAATGGCCAAAGGGCATATTTGAATGTATTGTTTTTCCTTATGCAGTCATCTCTTCAATCAGGGATCTCCAATCTCTTAGGTCCCACAGACTGGTAGCAGCAGTGGCTTCAGTGGTGTGGAGGAAGGAATGGTTTCACACACACACACAACACAAATCCTGTGCATGTGCAAAAGAAACTTTGCATGGTCACCCGTCACTTTGGTTCCCAATGGGCTGCAGGCCGATAGCAGTCCACTGTCCAGGGGTTAGGGACCCTATCTTAAACAGTCAGCAACCTAAATCCCATAAAGGAAATTCCTTCCATTGGGGTTTTTATAGGAGCAAGGCTGGGCATCCACCTTGCAACTATTTTATACAACATCAGAATAAATTCTAAATTCACAGACACCAAGAGAAGGAGGTAGAAAAATTGAAAACATTTTCATACTGGAAGCAAACTTACCAAAACCGGAAGTAAGATTTTTGGTTCTATTTGATTTAAAAAAAAAAAAAAAAAAAAGCATGATCTAGGGAGAACAAATTCAACTTACCCACTTGAAACTCGTTCAATTCCTGGGACTGGATCTGGATATTCACATGTACTTACAGCATCATCACACTCAGCTTCATCAGATCCATCCCTGCAGTCCAGCTCTCCATTGCATACTAGGTGACGTTTAATGCAGCGCCCTGAAATACAAATATTGTTATATATCTATTTCTGGAATCTCTGCTTGGTCTAAAGTTGGATTTAAAGGTCTTTTCCACAGATCCATAAAAATAATTTGGGACAGATTTTTCACATTCTTGCTCACCTTACACTTTAACACCTTCGACATAAGCCAAAGGTGTTTATGAAGAGTATCGTAAGTTCAATAGCTGCTCCTTTTCGGAAGAAGTACATCTAGGTTGCTAAGAAACATTGGACTTTGCACATAATGTTAAGCTAGGTTGTTTAACTGTGGCCTGTGACCAAATCATAATATCCTGACATATATATTATGCTAATAACAAATTAGCACTTATATAAATGGGCCTGCACATATATAATGCTAAGCCAAAAGAAAACCAGTAATATTATGGCTCAGTACTAAGGAATGAACTAGAGCAGTGATGGTGAAGCTATGCCATGTGTGTCAAAAGTGACACTGCACAATGTTTTGGGTGACTAAAACACCCTAATACGACTATTGTCAAAAGCACACCATTTTTGTCTGATTTTTGGAGGCTGAAGGAATCACATGAAAATAAGTGTGCTCTAGACCCTCTGAAAAATCAAGGGTCATGCAATTGTGCAACTTCCGGAGTGTCTGGAAATCATACAAGAATGGGGTGTGCTTTTGTGCAGTATTCGGAGGCTGCACTGGCCATGCTAGCATTCTCCAAAGCCGCTTCAAGAATGAAGGCCTCCTTCAGCCTGTAGCTGCCTCTAGTGGGCGCCACAGGTCTGTCAACAGAAAGACAACATTGTCTGAATTGGATTGAATTTTTCATCAACAAAGTCAATTTAGGCCCAAAAAGTTCATCATCACTGAACTAGATTATGAAGTGTACAAAAATTAAACATAAAGTTTTTATTCTTTGCTCTCATTTCAACAGCAAACAACAAAAATCTGTCTTCAAAGTAATTTCACCATCACTGTCTTTTTCAAGACTGGTCACCTCTAGGCACCAGTGCCTCATTTAATGGAAATTATAGAAACTGAACATATGCAAAGAGCATCAGATTGAGAAAGATTGAAATGGAACCAGACTCACCTGTCTCCTGACACTGAAAGTCATTTCCACAGCTTTGTTCCACATCACATGATTCTCTTGGTTCACATGCTTCTCTGTCCCAGATATTACCAGTACATATTCTCCCTTCATATTTGGCTGGTTGTACCAGTTGCCTTGATCTGAACTGTAGAGTGCATTAAAATAGTTATATACAAATTCATAAAAAATGTGGAGTTAAACATTTAGACTCCCACAAAATAATTTCACCCAAGAAGGGGAAGCATTAATTATGTAGCCATTAAAAATGTAGAACTAATTGAGTGTTTCTCAATACAGTGGAAATTACTTAAAGCACAGCTTGCAGTATGTGGTGATGAAACATTCAGAGATAATTTAAAAAAAAACAACAGAGGTAAAGCCTGATTGCAGTCAACATAAATTGCAGGGCCTTTTTTCAAATCCAATCGCTCTTTGGTTTCAAGAAGGAAAAATAACTCTGCATCAACCCGCAAATAACTGGGACCAGTTTTTCATGACTTGGAATTCTATATAAACAATTGGTGCATATGAAATTGCTCTTTATACTTCATTTTTGTGAAATGAAGCCACACTTTTCTGCAGTCTCAGCTTTACAAAACAGCTTTTTCTTGGAGGTAAAGCTTGTCCCATTACAATGCTCCAGAGGTTAGTTAAGAGGGAGGTCTTCTTGATTGCATTTAGTAGTGAGTAACATTGCCATAATACATTATTTAAGGTTATGATTGCTCCACAGCAATATCATTATCATGATTGTTTATATGATAATAATTTTACACTATTATTAATGTAAATTGCATTGTCAGGTATTTGTAACTACCTAGTTGTTCATTACATTACCTGAACATCTTAACTGTTGTCCATGGCTATAAACTGCCAGGAGTACTAGGCAGATTGGGCATAATATAAATGAAACGACTAGCACATAAATATATAGATATATAGTGCATCAATCCAGCAAAGAGAGACAGTTTTAGTGTAGTAGTTAAGGTATGAGACTAGAAACCAGGAGATGTGAGTTTTAATCCTATCCTTGACATGAAGCCAACTAGATGACTCTCTCAGCCAATGGCAATGGCAAAGCACTTCTGAAATTTTGCTAAGAAAACTGCAGGGACTAGTTCAGGCAGTTGCCAGGAGTCAACATTGACTCCAAGGCATACATGCAAGCGTGTATATGAACACCCACACAAACACACCCAGCAAAGTACTTCCTACGTTCTTTTCTGGCATCTTGGTTCATTGTTCAGAGCAGCACATTAGACTCAATCCAAAACAGAACAGAATTACATGGTTTTCAAAGTCCTTCATTCAGTCTAAATCTGGGTTTTTGTTTTTTGGATTTTTTTTTATTTATTTTTTTGGCCATGGGGTTGGATATTGTCCCTATACTGATTTATGTTTTTACCATCATTGCAAGCAAAATATAGCAAGAAGACAGTTGAATGTATAAGAATGGAACCCCTTACTCGTTTTTCTTGGCAAGGAAAGCATTGTGTCCATTGTGACCATGTGCTCAGGTGACAATCAATGGGAAGAGGTCCCGCGGCTTGTCTTTGTGATCTTGTAATAGAATGAAAATAATTAGCAATACTGAACAATAGTGTCATTTTGCACATCTACTCTGTGGAAAGCAGTTTCAATAGAATACTCTTGACTGCAACATGGAGCTGGATTTAATATCTATTAAGTGTGTCACGCTCAAGCATGGGTAGGTTAATTTCAAGGAATCTTGTGTGCAGATGCTTGCTGCCGACTTGTGTTTTGTCTTCACCCTGACAGAAAACAGATCTTTGTTTAATTTGTTGTTGTTTTTTTACACTCTTACACTCTTCTATTATGTTCAGGGAAAAGGGAATTCATCTGGCTTTGTTTGATTGAACCACAAGTCAATGGCCATATACATTGTTTATTTAAGAAAAATTATTTTATCATCATTGCAAGCAAAATTTATTTTAGAAAATTCTAGGTTCACGTCTTGGTTATGCCTTTTAGGGTGGCAATACTAGAGCGAACATACAGTATAACAATTACATTCAGCCTCAGTGATAGAAATTCACTAAATTATTATGGTCTGGAAGCATTTTCTCAATAAACTACCTCCCAAGGTAGTACTTGTGGGATTAAGTTGAGCAGGGATTATATGCTGTGTACTGTGCTGTAAAGTCCTGGAGCAAAAGTGAGATATAAATATTAGCAAATAAATAAATATACAGTAAATAACGTGATTGTTTTTCTAAGTACTTTCTTACAGCATCATAATACTAAAATTGAATTAGTAACAGAAATTCACACTTTGAAAATACTTGTTTATTTTCTCTACACCTGAGTTATATTTGAAGTAATGATGTATGTCCATAGTTTGCCCTATCTAAAATCAGAAGTTCTCACAGTGGTTTCATTGAAACAAAACAAAAATACCATATCCCCATAATTAAGAAAGGATTAAAAAAAAACTATTATATTCCTTTTGGTTTTATCACCATGTCACCACCATGGCTTCTGTGTCTCTTGGAGACTTAAAAATAACTTCTTAAAAATGTGATTCCTGGATTGTCCACTCTGATACGGACCATTTCTCACTCAGCCTTGTTCCTGTCCACTTATTTACAGTATTAGACATGACATCTAACATAGTTTTCAAGGTTAGTCAGAATTAAAGGAATTTTAACATAAAAATGTTTTAGTAATGATTACTTAAGCCTTTCTATGCCATGGTAACCTACAACATTCTCCAGATCCAGGCCAATTAAGACTTGCACAACCTTGGGAAAGCTGGATAGATAACAAATTCCCATTATTATTTCCTCCAAAGAAACATGTGTTATGTAACAATCAGACTGAATTCAAAATTAGAGCTAATTACTTAACAGTGAGAGTATGTGCAGATGAATGTGGATGTATATGAAGCTGCAGGGTTGTGTTCTTTGACAAGCTACAAATGCAGCTCTTAGTTACCTTTGTACCTTTCTCCTCCCCTTGCATGAAATACTATATAAGCAACAGCTTTTATACTTTGACAAAAAATTTAAAAAATCAATTGGTATTGGAAGAACTATAGATCAGTATAGAAGACCCCCAGAATTTCCTGTCAAATTGAAGGCCACTGCCAAAGGCCCCAAGGAAGCAGGCAATCACTTGAAAATGTTGTGGGATTCAGAATCCTTCAAAAGTTGCTACAAAATAATAACTTTTGATGTGCTAAAACAGAGAAACTATAAAATGCATACTATTATCCCTAATTTTGTTTTTCTGAATACTTAATTAAATATAATTATACTTACATGAATTAATTTATATTTGATTAAACATCCTTGTATATTAATTAAACACAAATATATGCTCCTCTCTGATTCAGAATTGTGTGCATCTCATTGCTCTTGGGGGGAAAAAAACTCTTAGTAATATAAATTCAAAGAAAACAAATTCAGGTTTTCACTTGGAACCCCATACTTCTTGGAGCATCTACTCCAAAGTCACTTTTGATCCAAAATAACATAAACTCCGAAGTTAAGACAATCTTGCTAAAGATCTCTAGTTTAGATTCTGGGCAGCTTCTTCCTGGCAGAGTAGACAAAATCCTGAACAAGTTATTTGACATGATAAAAAGTAGCTTCTTGGGTTATTCTGATAATAAAGTGATATTGTTTCTTGGAGCAATATTACTTTATTATCAGAGTAAATGTCCCTCAACTCAAATAGCTACTTAGCCCTTTTGTTTTCTGATATATTTTTTTCAATGATTCAAACCTTCCTGGCCGGTGTGTGAATTTCTTTAGGGTATGTTCTCTAGAAAGAGCATAGGATGAAATAGGAAACTGATCTATATCCAATGTATTCCTTAATAAGATACATCCAATTTGATTATTTATTGAAGGAGAAGCTCTGAGCAATGCTCGTTATTGTCACATTGCTAACACAGAACCTGTCATTATCACTTACCTTCTATTATCATTATGACTGACAGACTAGGAGAATGTAAGGTGCTTTGGCACCTTGAAGACCAGCAAATTTAATATGACAGGCTGTGATCCACAATTTCAGATGGCAAGCAGACATTTTACATAGAAAGTTTATTTTTTGTAGGGAGGAAGACTAATAATAATTAGAACAATGACAGAATTCTTCCAAAGCTGGAAAAAATGTTACTCTAAAGTCCAGGAGATGTATGTAAAGAAACCAGTGGGCTGTACTTGATCATACATCACTATTTCTATAGGTCAATTTCAATTTCAGAACCAGGCAGCTAGAGAGAATCATTTTTTATTTTTAGTTTTAAATCTAATTGCTTATTTTTGTTCTCCCCTCTCCACTTTTTGCTCTGTGCTGTTGCTTGCGCAGAGCAGAAAGTGCTAAAATTACTAAACATTTGGCTGGGAAGGGGGTGCTGTGGATGAATGCAACGACAAAAATAAGCCATCTGTACTTATTGCAGAAATAAAGAAATAAAGCCTGAAAATCCAGAAATAATATATTAATAATCCAAACATAGTATTCTTGCTTTCTCTCTTCCAAAAATGTTTGACGTTCACCTTCATTACATTTTTCCCTTGTTTGATGTGATCGCTTTATCTAGCATAAAAACATTCTGTTCTTCATTTAGATTCAGTAAGGATTCCTTGAACAAGCTTTCAAATTAAGGGAAATGCCCCATATATTTTTACTTGGAACTAAGTTCCACAGAATTTAATGGAGTTTAACTTTGAGGATATTAGCATAAGTGTGTGCCCCTTTTTTTAACCACTGCAAAATTATATAGAATATCCATCAAATGCATTGTTAAATAATATGGCTACAAGTTTGTTTTGATGCAGCATGCATGGAATGAAGAACAGAATTGTCTGAAAAACAAATTATGGCTCAGGAGGAAATGTCTTAAACAGATGTAATTATGAGATTCACAGAATGATTTGTGTTACTGCTCCATAGTGATGGGTCAATAGTATCAACCATTTTTTGTTAGGTGCTTTAAGATAATAGTACCCACATGGCTCATATGCGAGTTTGAATTGATGCACTGACCAGATAGCAATTTCTATATGACAGATAGTATCTTAAATTACATGGAGATAGACTTACCTCTGGGAAGGCAATCCGGTTAGCTTACTCTGTGCCGCATCTGTATTCGGACATAATAGCAAGTAAGCTATGGAGAGAATTATAGGAAAAAGTATCTTATTTGGGTGGATCTTCATTTTCTTTTAGCGAAACCAAGTGCTTTTCATTTTTTTTGGTTTGAAAACCTTTGAGTACCTACTTAGGAGTGATCTAGTTTTTTTCTTTTTTCTTTAGAGTGTGTTTTGTGTCTCGAATGCTCTTTGGTACTGTGAATCATTGACAAAAAGAAAAACAAACAAAATGGGGAGGAAAAAAAACTCAACCAGACTGTATTCTCAATGGCAGACATTTCAAGATAGATGGACATATTTAAACAAGCTTTTATGTTCATGCCAAAGTCCATTAAGTTTGGTTAGTAGAACTGAACTCTTTGTTATGAAGTCCCTATGTTAGAAAGGTATAAGAACGTGAACATAATTACAGTTTGTTATATCTACATGCGGTTGTGATATTTAGGAGTTAAGGACAGCATTATTGAAGAGAAAGTCAAAACAATCAAGAACATAAATTTTATTCCAATGGTTTTCCCTTTTTTCCAAGTGCAACATTTAACATATGGGATGTTTCCAGATATAGATACTGGTTATCACTAATATTAACACTATTTTGACAGGTGTAAATTTGACTAGAAAAAAAAACCTGGCCATATGTAGCAATGCATTCATCGGATATATATGTACAAGTCAGACAGACCTATGATATGTTGAATCATACCACACAGATGACTTCGTGGTGCTTGCAAGTAGGAGACAAAAATATACCATCTGATTGTTTCTCTGTAATGGGTAATTAGAGGCATGGTCTCCCCAACTTGGAATAATATTGGGACTTCAAAATGAATTACCCTTGGTAGACTTCGTTTCCATGAACTCTTGATATTTCTTCAGCCAGCCTATTGTAATGATATTTTGCAGAATCAGAATTTGGGTTATCTGATTCGATTGGAAGCAGAGGGCCTCATTACTTTTTTTTGTCTAGTTTTCTTTAATCAGAAATCTGAGAATAAATTACTGTAAGCTACAACTTTATGTTTTGATGAGCAGATGGTAAGATTCCAGCAGGAATTTCCCTGGTTTGGCATTCTACAATATACAGTATATGGGGCAATGCTACAGTCCAACATGCATCTGCCTTATAGAAAATAGTTACACTTGATAATTTTAGGACATATTTGAACTAATGCATGACAAAAACACCCTTACACAGTTGACAGAATAAAATAGAGAAGTAGCTTAATATATAAAAATAAACAACTTTTTAAAAGTTGCTAATTCTACATCAGTCAATGAGTCCAGTGGTTAATGTTGCCAGATTTAATGCCATGTCTTCTAGAAGCCTCAGCCAGTTTTCTAGGGCTGAGAAAATAAATAAGCAAAGATTTTTTAAAAATAATTATTACTCTGTCATATTCCATGGTGTCATAAAGCAGATTGAGCCCTGATGTTGTCTATCACTAATAAAGATTTGATTTGACTGAACTTTAGCTAAGCATTGCTAAGATTAGACTTAAAACAGGATAAAATATGGAAATAGAACTGAATAGTAGTAACCTCAATGAGTAATGAAGATGACACAAACTCAGTTTGGGCTTCCTTTGGGCTATATGAATTCAGCCATTCTTACCATCTGTTCAAGTGAAGTTTGCAAGCCAGATCTCACTGTGTGGCAAAGCTTTAGAAAATAATATGCTGAACCTACCAACGAATTCACTTAGGGAAAACAAAATATACACCGTACAGGGCCCTAAAGAAAATGGCAATTCATTTTTCCCCATTGTCTGTCACAATAAAATAGTTTCCAGCATCCAAGCAGAGTGAGTTATTGCTTAGCACATATTGGCTGTCATGTTTGCCTACTCAGTCACTGCATCACTAGGATCTAAATCTTTGATTTCTGAAGCAGTTGGAGAGAAGAAAGAAGTAACTGACAATATGAAATCTTTCTTTAATTTAATAAACCACATAAACCAACCACCAAGAATCTCTCCAATCCAAAGCCTGACCATCCTCTAATACAAATGGCCAAATATTTCCTTCTCAGCATCTAGCGAGATTACTGAAGCATTATATCTATTTTAGCTGTGCTGACAGTGGCATCGGAAACGCACTTCATATGATTAAAGTTATTTGTGGCTCTTCCAGAAATAAAACAATCAAGCACATCTCCAGTTTCCGAAAGAGAAGGTGCCACTTTAGTGAGTGTGTTATGTTGTCAGCCAGGAAAGTAGAAAGGGGTTGGAGAGATTCAAGACACAAAGCATATCACAGATGAATAAAACACATCTCATGTTGCAGGAAGTTATATATTTAAAATGATGGTTAAAAACTATACTTCCATATGCATCAACATTAGAAAGTAAAAGAGCTGCAGATAAATGTTGGGCCCTACACTCTCAAGCTGTCCAGCTGGTGCAGTGACCTTCAAGGTAATGTCCCCAAAGAACAGCCGTTCTTCCTAGCCTCAGGCTCTCCACATGTGTTGGATGGCAGCTCCCAGCATTCCTAGCCAAAACTGAATTTGGCTAGCAATTCTGGAGGGCAATTCACTGGAGCTGCTCCAGCATCTGGGTTATTTGGCACAGTCTGCCACACTAAATGCAAAAGGCAAAAAGAAGGCAATCTTTGCATCTCCACATGTCTCAAAACTAACCCTGTGGTGGAATACTATTTCACTAAACAAACACTGGAGTGCATGAGATATGAATGAAAGAAAGCCAAGAGAAAGAAACTGATCCAATGATTTTCAACACAAAGACTATACTTGACAACTCATTCAAGATAGCATGGGTTTGCAAACTTGGCAACTTTAAGACTTATGGACTTCAACTCCCAGAATTCCTCAGCTGGCCTAGTCCTAAAGTTGCCAAGTTTGCAGACCTCCTGGCCTAATCTGTGGAGAAGTAGCACATTAAAACCACCAAGTCAGGTGGTGGGAAACTGGAGCAGCTGAGAACACAATGCAATGTTTTCTGCCCTGTTTGAGAGGATTTCTCTTAAAAATTACCGAGGGGAGAATTATTAGATGTGCAGAAAATTCCATCAGTCTGGCAAATAATAAGTTGCTTCAGTAAAAGTTGTCATTATTCACCTTGTCTGATTTTAACCTGAAGATCAATAAACACTATGAACATTTTCCCCTCCCCCAAAGCTGTGGAGAAATATCTTGAAAAATCCTAATGCAACTAAAGCTAGCTTAGCTCGTCCTCTAGTGGAAAACTGTAGGAAAAAAAAACCCCTTTGCCTACTAAGTCTTACTATAGAAATTTGCCAGTACTCAATACTGTGGAATTTGCAGAAGTTACATTGAAGGATTATTATAGTTGACTCTATAGATACTGAATGCCAGGGGATTCAGTTAAAATTGAGTGGTAATTATCATCAATTATTACTATACTGAATTGAATTTGCCTCCAAATGAATGCACACATGGGCTTGACAGATCTCCTTCACAGAAGCATCTGCAGAAGAAGATGCACAAATAATAAAAGCAGCATCACACCATTGTTATTGTAAATTCTGCCCTTTTGTACAAGTGTTGTGACTTGAGGCATAATGGTGCAAAATTGCTTTTGTCATGTTGATCAAAGCATCACATCATGCACTTACCTTTCTCCTTACCCCAAAATCACAATCGATTCTTTGCCCACATTGAGTAAGTATAAATCTAGTAAAATGGTATTGACTGGATCGATAATCTGTATTATATTTTTTTTAATGTTTGGAATAGCTTAATGTCAACATGAAAAGAGTCAATTGCATTTAAGACCCATAAAGAAAACATGCAGCATCTCTAGCTATGATGCAGCATCCATGGCCATGATGTATGTAGGAATTTATATCTCACCTAATGGTGTGAATAACTCACAACAAATAAAGGCTAAATCATTCTAAAAGAGTAAAATAAAAAAATAAAAAACAGTAGCAAAAAAACCCTCAATATTTTTTTAAAAAATTTAAAAAAATGGCAGTTGATAAACCAGTAAGCAGGACTTATAACTGAAGACTTTCCTGATGTTCTAGAAATCTGCTAGTGATAAGGTGTGATTGGTGTCCTTCAGAAGGGCACTCCAGAAGGTGGCCTGGCCACTTGAAAGACCTGCCTTGATCTTAAGGAACGTAAATGGTTTGTCTTTGATGGCAATTTCAATTATCAGGTTAATGTATACATGGGTAAAACAGTCTTTTGAGTAGCCAAACAATTGGGGCACATAGTGTTCATTGATAGTGTTTTCAAAAAAGTTTTAATATTATGTCTTGTAACTAGGCCTACAAAATTTAAGTGTTCTGGATTTCTCCCTTTTTTCCCCTCAATTCTTGTCTATTTCTGTTTTTGGTTTTGTTCCTCAAATGAATTTTTTTAAATTCTGCACTGGTTCCTTTGTACCATCTGTATTCTGTAAAATCAGCCCATGAAAATTATTCTATTTCTTCCACATTACCATTGTTTCACATTCATATTGAAGGCATGCTGCAAAAAAAAGAGAGTAACTTTTCCAATGATTTTGAAATTATATATATTATGTTATAGCATGGCGTTTTCTAAAATGCACACAAATTTCTGCTTTAGTATAACACTGAACAAAAAGAACCTTGAGGTAACACTCATAACAAATAAGATTTTATTATTCTTATTTTGCACAGTTTTGTCAGTACAGACATGCCAATAATAAAGGTAACTTTCTTTATGACATTGAAAAAAAGGAATAGAGAAATTCAAAGAAGATGAAATGGTAGGAGAAGAAAAATGGAAGAAATTATAAATGCATCACCCAATAAATTTTGGCAATTGAACTTTCTCCTAGATTAAAAAGAGCTTCCTTAGTCTAATCATAATCAATTGTGCTAGAGCAGAGGTCTCCAACCTTTCCAGGCTCACGGACCGGAGGGAAGGAGAGCAGCTTCAAAATTGGTGCGCATGCACACACAGGGACACACATATTGGCACAGCACTAGCAGTCCCATTCACGCATGTGGCAGCTAGCAGCCCGTTCACGCATGTGCAAATGGGCCGCGCAACCCACCCGGGCTAGCAGCACATTCACAAATGGGCCGCGGACACTTACCCCATGCTAGTGTCC